AACAACCTGTATACAAATTTCAATACTGAATTTACTCGGACATGAAAAAGCTGCATCCATGTTAAATATGATCTATGATGTTACTATTGGTGCTCATAGAGATTGCCATTAGCCTCCACACACTTTTCATAATAGTAATAATACAATCAGATGGTTACTGGTACCAACAGAATTGGAACTCTTCACTTGCTGCTGAAAATGGGGACAGGGAACTTATGGGAGTTTACCGAGTGCCGTGATGTCAATTCTTAATTCAGCATTCAATAATAATAATATTAAAACACATTGCTATAGTAATTCGATCTAAATATGGCAGAATATGTCTCATAATGATGACGTTTTTCAACAAGTAGGTTTTATAAAAATTGCTTGTGTATTTCACAGCTGTGGGATTACTGTGTGTATCTTTTTTGGGCTAACTCTCTTAAGGATAGGATTCCTATACTAATATATAACAGACCAACTCAGTAGTTCATAATATAGATAACAAACTGACATACTGGTGCTTTTAATGTGCAAACTAATGCACATAATGGACAGACTAAAATGTATATTACCGGAACTGTAAAACAAAAATAGTAGCACTGTAATGTAATATTGATGTTGTAAAAGATGACTAAGTAGCGCTTCTGTTGGACTTGTTAATCTCTTAGTAAACTAGCTGCAAATTGAAACGATAATGATTTAGTCTACAAAGAGTTTTGTGTGAGTTAATACCTAGTATCCATGAAAGATTAAAGGAGGAGGCAGAGAAGACTATGTGGACGAAAAATTTGATGATCAGGAGGAGGTGAAGAAGAAGAAGAAAAAGAAGAAGAAGAAGAAGAAAAGAAAAAGAAGAAGAAGAAGAAGAAGAAGAAGAAGAAGAAGAAGAAGAAGAAGAGAAGAAGAAGAAGAAGAAGAAGAAGAAGAAGAAGAAGAAGAAGAAGAAGAAGAAGAAGAAGAAGAAGAAGAAGAAGAAGAAGAAGAAGAAGAAGAAGAAGAAAAGAAGAAGAAGATGAAAGAGGAGAAGGGGGAGAATGGAAGAGGAGGAGGAGAAAAAGAAGATGAAGAAAGAAGAAGAAGAAGAAGAAGAAGAAGACATAAAATAAGCAGAGAAAAAGGAGGAAGATATTGAGAAAGAGGATGAAAACAGAAAATGATGAGGAAGTACAGGTACAGTAGACCGACTCGGTTTGTGGTTTCATTAGCAAATAACACAGTCAGCCAGCAAGAAATGCTGTTACAATGACCCCATGAGCGGACTTACGCACGTTGTCGTCGTAATGCCTCAATATGGAGCATTTCTCTGAGGCGTCCAGGATATTCTCACACAAATGTAGAGTTCCTGAGTTCACTCCCCCCTGAGTTGTATTAGCGTTGGGTGCTCCAACTATCATCCTGTTATGTGACAAAGACATAAGTTGAGATGATTAATAACCTCTAATGTAATACAACATTAAGCATTATAATAAGTAAACTGAAAGAATAGAATGTTTATTAGACTAGAATATTTCGTAAAGGTGGAGACAGGTTTGCTCCGTGCAGAGTGGCAAGCATCACTTCAGTGGTCCCGGGTAGTTAGCGTTCTTTTGATATTTTTTCCAGGTCATGCTGTTGTGTTTGAAAAATGAGCGACAGATAGACGGACAGGCTCTGCATCACTTGGTGGTGAATTTTTGTATGACAAGCTAGATATTGTAATGGCCCTTTTGGGGCGAGTGAACAGTGGGGAGGTAAAGATAGATCATTATGGTCTGAGGAGAATGGCGCTGCGAGGAGTTACCAGGGTATCTGGCCGACGCTCAACACTCAGTGGAAGGGCGAGACGGATATTACAATCAGACAATTACTGGTGCCATCGGAAATGGAACTCTTCGCTTGCTGTTGAAGATGGGGATGAAACACTTATGGCAGTGTCCCCAGTGCTATGATTCGATTCTGAATTAAACATTCAACATAAACATATCTCTCCCTTACCCCAAACTCCCGTTATTTCCACCTCTGGGGTGTAACCGGAAAGCTACACTATTAATGACTTAATTGTTCGGATGCGAAACCAAGAGAAACAAAACCTACACATCCCTTTCAATCTTATACTGGAAAACCCCATGGCTACACGAAGAAACCTGCTGTCCTCTTATTATTCATAAACAAGAGATGCCTTAGCATTTTTAAACATCACCCCCCCCCCCCCACCAAGTCTTTTTTCCTTTTAGATATTGCAACCTGAAAGACTGACACCCTTTGAGTTAAACTGAAAGACTGACACCCTGTGAGCCAACCCGAAAGACTGACACCCTGTGAGCCAACCTGAAAGACTGACACACTATTAACCAGACTGAAAGACTGACACTCTGTGAGTTAAACTGAAAGACTAGTACCCATTGAGTCTAAAGAGCCACTTTTCTGAGCCACTTCCCACTATTAGGCATTAGACGGTTATTAGTCGATCGATCAGTTTGTCCCCTCTGTGCTGCTTCTAAATGTTTACCATACCACCCTGGGACTTTAAAATCTCAATCTTTATGGCAGACCAACAAGCGATACCCCATTCGGCCTACAAGAAAGTTATAATTAGGGCACCCGCAACGACTTCACCAGCCAGTTGTAACCTCGGGTGCTAGAGGTCATGGGTTCAGGCCCCGGTGAAGGCTGGGATTTTTTCACGTGGACTTCACGTAATTTCCCATGGTCTCTGGTAGTAGGATAGGAGTGTATTGTTAGGCACTTAAAATAATTCCTTGGCAGTTGGAAATCGAAATGAGTAGCCTAACAGCGCTGCCCGGGCAAAGTTTGAATTATACCCAAAGTATTTCTGGATCCTCGCCGGTGCTACAAAGTTAGTGCACTGTGCTGAGATTATTTAAACTCAGGCTTGATCCGTTGTATAAACGATGAACCACAAACCTACAGTCAGTCATCTGCGGATGAGGTCTATGAAAAAAGTCACCAATGAAATTACTGTTACTTTTTCTGCCACCCCCACCCCGACCAATATCATTTTTCAGTCTTATATTTGAAGGTTTTACTTTCTTGAGATTGCAGTAACCTCATTCTAGATGGCAAACATACCCTGTTCAATCTCATAAGATTTTATAATTGATGGCACCGTAACGACTACGCCAACTTGTAACTAAGGGTGCAACCAATCAGCTCCAAACGACAAGAACGCCTTTGCAGTTAGTAAATTTCCCTTTTCCATTTTGTTGTCCCTTATAGACCAATCAGCGCTTGGTGGGTGATATGATCAGCATCATGCTTCTCAGGACTGCACCTGGAACCCACTTAAGGCTGGATCAACCTTAGAGTCAAGGTCATTTTAAAAAAAGTCCCGCTTCGTCAGGATAGGAACCGACGAATTTCTAATGAACAGGCGGGCGTCTAGCCGCCAACGCCACGGCCACTCCCCTTTGAACAGTTATATATCATTTATTTAAATGACCCAAACAGTCTCCACTCCCCCCCACCCCCTTTTTTCCACCGAACCCTTGCGTAATGTTGATCAAATCATGCGGGGAGTAGCTACTGGTCTATAAAATATAGGTCTAGCAATATGTAATAGAAAGCAATGGCAAACTACTGGACGAAAATTTGCCGAGAAAAACCACACAACAGCCAGCTGCTGTTAGGGTTGGTTCTGCAACGGCCTGTAAAGGATACGCAACTAACCTTAGCAATATACACCCAAATAGGCTAAAGAAGGGTAATTTACAATAATTCCCCGGGAATGAAGAGTACTTTTAGTTATCCTTCAATTTAATAGAGCGTGCTACCGGAAAGTCAAAGTATCGCAGCAGCTAGCCCTCTCAATTCCTAATAACAAATATTGTTTATTCAACGGATCAATATCATGGCACACGGGTGTAACCCATAAGTGCTCCGTTCTCCTTTAACTCAAGCTGGAGTCCGAAGAATTTCAGCGCAGTGCACAAACTCTGTTGCACTGGCAAGGATCCCGAAATACTTTGACTAGATTTTTAAACTCCAAATTTTGCCCGGGCTGCGTCGTTAGGCTTCTCTTTTCGATTTCCAAATGTCAAGGGATTTTTTTTAACGTGCGCAACAATACACACAGGCGTCCGGTCTTACAACCCAGAGACCAGGGGATTTTTCTAAAAGTCTACGTGAAAAAATCCAAGCCCTCACCGGTTTCAATATCTGGGAACACCATTCACAAAAATGAAGAAATTAACATCGAATGCAGTAAAGTATAAGGACAGCTAGCTCCACCCCCCCCCCCTCCCTTTTTTTTCTCTCTCACCATTTACAGTACAAGACACTATACTGTCAGAGCCATACATGGTCACTCACAACAAACCAGAAAGCATAATTAGTAACCATGGAAATGAGATGTCCGAGAAAAGGTGTCTGACTGGCCAGACGAGTACAATCAGGAATGAGGTCATAAGAGAAAATGTCGGCACAGAACCAATTCCACGTTACATTCAGATGAAACAAAGAATATAGTTTGCCCACTTATAGATACTGCATTACGACTCCATAAGTGGTCAAGTCGTTTGCCTCGCGCTCTGAAGGTCGTCGGTTCGTTTCACGGCTGAGCCGTTTAGTTCACGAGTGAAATTGTTACAGAGATCTCTAGGAATCGTCGCCGGAGCTACGGAATTCGTTCTCTGTAAGGCGCTTTCGGCAGGTGGCTTGCCGTTCTGCGGAGAGAGACCAAGCCCCCCCCCCCCCCCCCCCCCTCAAAATCCAAAGTTTATGTGACCCCAGTATTTTTTTTTATATCCTGATGATAAATCAAAACTGGGAGGGGTAAGAGATCTAGTGTCTTTTCTGGAACCTAGGTGACGGTGTTTATGTGAACAACACACCCACACGATTTTCAGAACAGAAGCGCTGAATGGGACTTGATTGGGATGGATAGTCGTGTTTACATTTGTAGAGTTCATGGCTCGCTAACGCAACTGGTTAAAACCCTCTGCGCGGCGACCGAGTGACGAACTCCTTGTGATCTGGGTTCAAGCTCAGGGGTAGGCAGAAAAGCCACATTACTCACAGATTTACCGTATCTATCATGGAATCAATCCTGAAGTGTTGCAATATTCATATTAGCGAGCCAAAGGGTTTACAACTCATGGTTCCTTGATGCTTAAAAAAAAAAAAAAGGGATTCACAAATAAAGGCGAGACTGATATATGGTAGTCCACCAAATATACTCGTGTGTGTCAACAGTGACTACAGTTTGTTTTCAGTAAAAGCTTTTTCAGACTAGCCAGAAACTACAAATAATTGGTGATGTATAATAATCATATTAGGCCGATACACCAGTAACACCACTGGGACATAACAATTAACTGACAAAATGTGTATTTTTGTCGGTACACATTACCGACACACATTACCGACACACATTACCGACACACATTACTGACACACATTACCGACACACATTACCGACACACATTACCGACACACATTACCGACACACATTACCGACACACATTACCGACACACACTTTTTTTAATGCGAAGTGTGTGTGTGTGTGTGTGTGTGCGTGCGTGCGTGCGTGTGTGTGTGTGTGTGTGTGTGGGGGGGGGTGGGGGTAAGGGGTGTGTTTTGTTGGGGGTAAAGATTAAATAAACTGTTCATTAAATTTTCGTATCCACCACTTTAACTCAGTTGACATCCATCAACCCAAGATAAGATGTCATTGCGAAAGCAGTGTGCAGTTCTGATTTGTCACCTCGGGAATGTCCAAATGATAAATTTTTTTTTTCTCCAAACATTCTTGACCCATTAACTCAGTTGAAATGCATTATTCACGATAAAATGTAACGTAAAAGGAACTGGTCATCTCTACTACACTGGAATGCCCAACTTATAATATGAAAATTTACCTATTGTCTGTCAAAATAATGAATTGCCTCAATGTGCCATGGTTTTATTTACAAATTTATAGCCCAGAAAATTATGGAAAGAAGAAACATTTGGTGAGTGCGAAATCAGAAAAGTAATGAAAAGGTTAGGCATACCTGAAACAGAAAAAGGATATGGTTTCCGTGAATATTTACAAAAAAAAAAAAAAAAAAAAAATTTTCAGACAAAAAAAATTCCCTTGAAACACACTTAATAAACGCATGCAGCATTGTCACCATTAAAAAAAAAAAGAAGGCACTGTACAATCAAAATTCACTACTGGTAAAACAACAGTTTCATCACAGAGAAGCACTTATATAACCACTAATAATACAATAACTGTTGTCACTGTTGAGGGGCTGCGTAGTCTCGACGCATGGTGTCCGCCTCGAGTGCTAGAGGTTACGGGTTCCATCCCTGGTAAAGGCTGGAATTTCTTACGTAGACTTAGACTATTCGTAATTCCCCTTTGTCACTAGGTAGTGAGATCGGACCCCCGTGTGCATTGCTGCGCATGTAAAAAAATCCGTTGAAAGATGGACATCGAAAAAGTAGCCTGAAGGTCCTGCGCAGGCACAATTTAAAAATTAGTTTGAAATATACCCAAAGTATTTACAGGATCCCCACCGGTGCCTCAGAGCCTGTGCACTGTGCTGAGCTTCTTCGGACTTATTTTTGAGTAAGAAGAAGAACGGAGCATTTATGGATTACTACCCGTGTGCCATAATGTTGATCCGTTGTTCAGACTTCAAACCTGTCATTGTTGACACCTACAAGTATATTTGGTGGACTGCCATTTATCAGTCTCGCCCTTATTTGTGAATCCCTTTGTAAACAGCCGTACGTTACTCTACAAATCTAAACACGACTACCGAGCCCAATATTGTCATGGGCAGTTACACAATGTAGATATACTATTGAAAACAATAAGTAGATCACAGAGGTACACACAGTGATGGATTGAGGCAAACGCCTTATCTTAGTTCCTCACAGTCTGCTGGGGCCACATTTAAAACCTTTTTTGTTTACACAGATGTAATTTTCTTTTGATAAATTTTCAATGTAATTTTCTTTTTATAGAGCCCTTTAGATGATTATGTAATATAATTTCAGTTATTTTGTAAACACATTCTTCATTCCTTTACTAAAACGACAAAATATTTCCACTGACTATACATTTCAAGGGCGCAACGAATATATTTAACAGTTTTATGGGATTAGCTGGTGTAATTTAAAGCGGTAGGGGCTTTATAGATTTATATAGCTTATCAAGCCTAAATCCGTCTCTGGATACAGTACACATATTACACCAGTGACAACAGTTACTTCAGAGAAACACAACAACGACAATAGTTACCTCAGAGAAATACAATGACAAGTTACCTCAGTGAAATACAACAATGACGACAGTTACGTCAGAGAAATACAACAATGACAATAACCGAACAAACATGGTCCTATTTACCCTAAGGTATCTGTCTCTGAATCCACGGGCAAGAAACTAGCAGTGAGACCGAAATGCGATCCTCTGGGGCCAGCTATGGCAATGACATTTCGTGTCTGTATATTAAATCCAAAAGTCTGGAACGGTTTCAGCGTTAGCAGAACAAATCCGCACAGAGTGCACAGTTGCATTTTATTTGGCGACAT